TGCCTGGGTTGCAGGCCAGGTCCCTGGTGGGGAGCGTGTGAGAGGCAACCACTCATTAATCTTTCTCTCCCTCTCTTTCTCCCTCCCTTCCCCTCTCTCAAAAAATAAAAAAATAAAATCTTTAATAAAAATAACCATTTTAAAGTATACAATTCAGTAGCATTCAGTGCCTTCAAAATGTGCCACTGCCACCACGTCTATCTAGTTCCAAACATTTCTTTTTAAAGATTTTATTTATTTATCTTTAGAAAGAGAGGAAAGGAGGGAGAAAGAGAGGGAGAGAAAAACCGATGTGCGAGATCAGCCGCCTCTCACACGCCCCCAGCTGAGGACCTGGCCTGCTGCAGCCTGGGCATGTGCCCTGACTGGGAATAGAACCAGCGACGTTTCAGTGGTTTGCAGGCTGGTGCTCAATCCCCTGAACCACAGCAGCCAGGGCCCAAACATTTTAATCACTCCAAAAGGAGACCTCCAACCCATCTAACAGTTGCTCCTAAATTCCTCTTCCCCCAGCTCCTGGTGACCACTAATGTGCTGTCTCTATGGCTTTACCTATTTTGGAATCATATAATATGTGACCTTTTGTGTCTGGCTGCTTTCCCTCAGCATCTAGGTTGTAACATGGATCAGTACCTAGTTGTTTTGTTTGTTTGTTTGTTTGTTTTTGGCCGCATATATTCCATTGTATGGATGGACCATAATTTGTTTTAGTCATTCCTCAGTTGGTAGACATTTGGCTTGTTTCCATCTTTTCGCTATCGAGACCAGTGCCGCTTCGAACGTGTATACGCTTGCGTTTGTTTGCATCTGTTTGATTTTTGCTGAAGATTGAACCACTTTTTCATGCGCTCCATAAATTTTTCTTAAACCCCTGATTTCATAAATATTTTGCTTTACTGGACAAGTCACAGAATCTTACAAATGTTTGTGGTAGGAACTTCGTAAGTCGTCTTGTCCACCCCCACACACGAAACTAAACGCACTCAGAGCCTGGGTCTGTTCAGAAGGCCCTCAACACAGTTTGCATCATGACGCGGGTGCCTTACTGACACTATTCCTTGTTAACTGAATGTGCACAATACAGCTTTTGTCGTCACAGGACGGTTCTCCTTGAGGAGTGATCGTCTGACTCTAAATTTAGTAGCTTGTCATTCTTTCATCATTTTGCTTCTTAAAAAATTCCACCACCATCAGCGTTGTTGTGTAAAGGAGCTATAGCAGTCTTAACTGGTTTCAGGGGTAAAATTAAGTTTTGGTCTGAAACAACCTATGAATGCTTTACCATGTGTTGTGGAATGTTTTGTTTTTTCCTTTCTTTGCCATTTAAGACTCTGTCTTGCTCAGTGTCCGTCACTTTTTGATTCAATGAACCAGCACTAGGTCCTTCGCTTTGCAAGGAAAGGTTAGTGTTTTCTAAAGCACCAAAATTAACAAACATTTATCTTATATCTGACTTTATAAATCTCTGTCTCAATTTTTAGCAGAGTTGAGTGAAATTGGTAGGGAGTGTGGGCATAAAACCAGGAGAATTCATAGAACAATGATTATCCAACTTTTTGTAAATCTGATAGCAATAAAAGTCAAGGCTGGAAGACAGGGACTTGATCTTCACTGCTGGACCCCCCAATACCAGGAACAGTCCCTGAGACACAGCAGGGGTTCCAGAAATATTCGTTGGATAAGTGAGTGAATTAATTTCACTCTGGTTTCTGAAACAACAATGCTATTAAAGGTAGATGTAATTAAAAAAATAGAAAAATAGCATAGTGAAAATGAATTTCTATGTCGTCATCTTTTTAAAATAGATTTTATTTATTTATTTTCAGAGAGAGGGAAAAGGAGGGAGAAAGAGATGGAAACATCAATGTGTGGTTGCTTCTCACATGCCCCCTACTGGGGACCTGGCCCGCAACCCAGCCACGTGCCCTGACTGGGAATCAACCAGTGACCTTTGGTTTGCAGGCCAGCATTCAATCCACTGAGCCACACCAGTCAGGGCACCTGTATCTTCTTTATAAAGATTCTTGTAATCATAGGCTATCTCTTAGAAGTTACATTTTTAATGGTTGCCTATCTACCATAGTTCAGGAATTTTTAAAAAATTTACTTTTAATTAAATAATGTTCTTGTTATGACAGCTTTTGTTTCATGTTCTATTTAAAAAAACCCTATAAATCCTTACACCTTTATAGCAGTTTACACACTACTCTCCAGTCACTGTTTCATACTGTTCAGATTTTGAATGGCCATAAGAACCATTCATGCCTTGGCCAGAGATTTAAAATATTTCTAAACAGTAATGAATCAATTTAAAACCATGATTTATAGTAATTTTCTCTGGATGTGTGGGATTATAACTGTTTTTGTTTTATTCATATTGCTTGTTTTAATTTTATTTAATAAACGTCCTTTGTTCTTTTTCTTTTTTTAAAGACAAAATACTGGGAAAAAAGTCCCTAGTTACTCAGAACCCAAAGTCTTACACTCCATCCTTTTTAAAAACTAGAGCAATTAATGAGTCCACAATCCTTGCTCTCTTGCTGCTTACACTCTAGTTGGGGTGGGGTAAGGCAGGTGATAAAATAAGAAACCTGCTGTGCTGCAGGAAACCAGCAGAAAACCAGCAGAGAAAATACTGGCTGCTAACGAGCTATGTGGAAGCAAACCACTGACACAGCGACACAGCGTTGCAGAGAATATCCACTACTCATTGTGTCTGAGGATCTTAACTACCTTATGCCATTGAAAAAGATCAAAGTAATGCATGCACATAATTCTTATGGTTATTAAAGATTTTATTTACTTTTAGAGAGAAGGGAAAGGAGGGAGAAAGAGGGAGAGAAGCATCAGTGTGGCAGAGACACATCAGTCATCCGCCTCTCATGCACCCCCAACCAGGGACCCGGCCTGCAACCCAGGCAGGTGCCCTGACTGGGAATCGAACTTGGGACTTTTTGTTCGCTGGAGGACGCCCAACCCACTGAGCCATACCAGTCAGGGTCATGCATATAATTTTAAAAAATCAAGGATATCAGCGTTTATAATGAGAAGCACCATTGTTCTGTCCCCTCCCCCCTTCCCCAGAGACCATTAATTTTTTTTTGCTTTTTGCTCTTTTGGTGGTTAACTTCCATGTCTTCTAAAAATATAATTATACTGTTATTTATTTCTCATCTGTAGATGTTCTCTATCAATGTTCTTTTTTGACGAAAGCATTACACTTTTCGTCAACAGTTCTATTGCAGTTTTCCCCTTTGGTTACATTGATGACATGATTAAACCTTTATTTTTGTTCTGGAAAAACAAAACAACAGGTATTTGCCCACTTTCCCACTGTGTAAAGTGAAGACTTGGGAACTCCTACCTGCCTACTTCCGCCACTTCCCTTCATTTTCCAAAGTTTTGTCCCTGGAGCTGTTCTAACACTTTTACAGAAGACGTGCATGTGAAAGGGCCCGGGGGCTCCAGGGGACATGCTCCCTTTGAAGCGGGGTGGGGCCACTTTAACCCTCCCACTGGCCCCGCTGTGCGACTCCAACAAGTAACGTCCCAGAAAGTGGTGTTGGGTGTAGGCCTTGATCACAAAATTTAAGGTGGCACCAAAAATAGTATTTTAATGCAATAATTTTTAAAAGTCAAAATTAATGTAAAAAAATCCATGATGAAGGAAATCTTGGCATTTTTAAATAAAGACGGGTTCAGCAGAATGAGTAGAGCAGAAGAGAAATAAACACGTGTCCACGGCTGCACCCGCCCGTCGTTAGCAGCGGCCCTGGCCTCATTCTACGGCATCTGTGATTATTGCGCAGGTTGCCAATCAGAGCCGGGAAGTGTTCAGGTGGGGTGCGGTGTGTGCCTCCCAGATGAGGAATACGGATACTGGATTTCAGGGGCGTCACCACCACTTCGACCTGGGAGCTTGCAAACCAGGACCACGGTGAATTAGGAGATAGCATTTTTGCGACTTAAAACGCGAATCGAGGGGAGGGCCCCCAGATCAATTTACTTTGTTCAGCCTGTCGTGCTAGTCCCCTGTAGTTCCCTCCCCCTGCTCTGTGCGTGCCCGTTGGCCCAGGCAGCAGCGCGCTTTGAATAAAGGTCAGAGAAGGGGTCACCTTCCAGACTATTCTCTTGTAGCCGGCAGCATGAGGAAGCCGGGCCCCCTCATCCGCCACTGAATCGCTGCAAAATTCTGGGCTTTCCTGACAGCTGCAAATCCCTCCCAGGAGCTGCAAAGCTTCTGGGGTTGCCATGGTCCATGGGAGTGAAATGCTGGTCGCCCCTGCTCCACCAGCCCCGAGCGTGCTGTCGCTGTCACCCCTCCAGTCCTTTTCAAAAGCTTTTAAAAGAGATCCGGGGCGGAGGAGGGGTGGGAGAACGGGACGTTAACCAGGGCTTCGGTCCAAGCGGCTGGGGCGAATAAAAGAGGCCTTTCTCAAACTAACGGAGCAAGTGCTGGGCTCCGTTCAAGGGATTTTTAGCCCTCGGTCCTTCCCGGTGCTTCCCAGGCTTCCCTTGCCTTGGGCAGCGCCGTTCAGCCTTCTCCCAGGGACTACTCGCCCTTATCCCTCCCTGGAGGGCCCGAGGATGCCCCCTACCCCAAACCTGCGGCGCGCAGCTCCTCCCAGCTTGTTTCAAAGGATTTCTCACCCCGGGTCTGGGAGGGGAAAAAAAAGAAGAAAGAAAGAAAGAAAAGGCTGAGCCGCAAACTGAGCGGCTGGGGTCTGGCCGCCCGCAGCCGCCGGGTGTGCCTGGCTCCTCGTGGGCTCACTTTCAGATACGCGGAACTGAGAAGACGCGCCGCGCGGGCGCAGGCCCCGCGGGGTCCCTCGCAGCTCCCTTCGCTCTCCGGTCCGCGGGCCAGCGGGCGGCGGGCGCGCGGTCTGAGCTCGCCTCCCCGGGACCGCGGCGGGTGCAGACAAAGCGGCGGCGGGGGGCTCGGGCGCGGGACCCGGGGCGCCGGGCCGGGCTGGGGGCGGGGCGCGCGGGGAGGAGCCGCCGCGGCGTCTTCGGCTGGCGGCGCGCGCCCGCCCGGCCCCGCGGCGGCGGCGGCGGCGGCGGCGCGTCACGCTTACCCCTCCCCGCCCCGAGCCGACGAGCCGGGAGGCGGTGGCGGCTGCTGCTGCGGCGGCGGAGGTGCAGGTGTCGGCGGCCGGTGACGACGGAAGCGGCAGCCGGCGGTGAGCGGGGGCCCTCTCCCTTCCTCGTCCCCCTCTCCCCTCTCTCCCGCCATGCCGGGCCCGCGTCCGTGAGGGGGGCCGGGCCCCGAACACCGGGCCGCTTCGGAGGGGACCCGGGAGCTCCGGGGGAATGGCCCTGGAGGCCAGCGGTGCTTGGCGTGCTCCCCGGGAGGGCCGGGAGAGTGGCCGGCCCCGTAAGCGCCGCGCCCGGCCTTCCCTTCCTCCGCCCGCCTCAAGATGGAGCTTGGACTCCTTGCCCTGCGCCGCCCCAGGCGCCGCGCGCTGCCGGCGCCCCGCTCCCCTCGGCTCGGCCCTGGGGGGTCTGCGCCGGGCCGGACCTGTTGCCCCCGGGCGCTGCCGCCGGGTCGCGCCAGCGTTCCCCAGGCCCTCGGCCCCTGTGCCCGCGAGCCGGAGCGGAGGGCACCCTGGCGTGGCCTCCGTGGCGGGCGCCGGCCGGCGGGATGGCCCCGGCCTGGCTGGTGGTGGCTGCTTTGTCCCCGCACCCCTCCTCCCCCGTGGGACTGTGATTCTTGGGGAAGGTGGATGATAAGAGGTGACGAGGATTTTTGAAATAACGCCACTGCTCCGTAACCCGAACCTTCTGCCCGGGCAGGGGATTGGCTCGGAAGACAGATGACACTTGTTCCGGGGTTATTTTAAAAGCAGAGGCTGCCGATTCCCCTCCTTGGGGGGGTCCTGGGCTTCAGAAACCTAGTTCGGACTGGGGGTTTAAATCCCGAACTCGGCTGTTTGTCCCCTTCATGTGGCTTTTCCATCTGGCGGGGACCGAGCGCCACCCCCTCCTCCCGCCACAGCCCCACCTCTTTGGCAGGAAGAAATTACACGTTAAGTCTGCAGCCCTTTGCGATACCTGTTTTTAGCAAAACTTGGGCACCAATTACCGTATTTAAAAAGGAGGGTGGAAAAAATACTGCAATTTTTTTTCTTTCTTTCTTTTTTTTTTTTTTATTCAACCTTGCCGTCCTGTTTTAGGCTAAGGCAGTGCCTGCCGGCGAGAGGTGTTGCCGCTGTGGTTCAGGTTATCGTTCTGGTTGGTGTTACTGTTTTATTATTATTATTGTTACTTAGAGTGTCCACAAGTGCAGAGACCAGTCTGCCTTTGGTTTGTTTGTTTTTTTTAATTGATTTTGGGGGTGAGAGATGGAAACATCGATGTGTTTTCCCACCTATCTATGCATTCATTCTTGCCTGCGCCCTGCCCTGGGATGGAACCGCCAACCCTGGCGTCTCTAAACAAGGCTCTTAGCCAACTGACCTACCCAGCCAGGGCTGACTTTGGCTTTTCTTAAAAATTAAAAAAAATTTTTTCAGCTACACTTGACATTCGATATTATAGTCTTTGACTTTGGCTTTAATGATAATCTGCAAGAATCCTCAGGTATGTTGCTCCCCAGCCTTGGGGGCATTTTCCTCCTCTGAAAATAACAACAATTAACACTTAAGGAGGGCTTCTTGCGGTCAAGCCCTGGGCAAGTCTTTCATGTGTGTTATCTACATCCATCTAACCAGTGAGGCTGTCATTACCCCTATTTCATCCTTCGAAAGGGGAAGCGCCTCCGCCAGGGTCACACAGGGAGCACGTGGTGGTGTCCGGATTTGAGCGCAGGTGCTCTGACCCCAGGTGCTTAATTGAAGGCGTGGAGTGAGTCTCTAGCAAGGAGCAAGGAGGGCCTTTGGCAAAGCGCAGGAATGGGCGATTGCTTGGCGGAGGGCTGGTGCAGGGTTTTTCATGTTCAGAGAAAGAAGTAGGCCTTTGGCTTCCTAGTAGGCCTGGTTCAAAGAGGTAAACAAAGAAACAAAAACCCTAAAACAAAAACAATGTGGGAACCGCTGGGTATTCCATGGGAAGATAAAGCTCACACCATTCCCCACTTTGAACAATTGCTTAAGCACAACATGAGCCGATCTGGTTTCTCTTCTTTAGTGATGTAGAACTTGGTGCGCTTCTTTAGATCTAAGATACATTTTTTACCCGGTATCTAACACTGAGCGTGATGCATCCCATGTGACCCCTACATGCATGGGAACTTAGTAGTGTTTAACTCTTGCTTTTTTAAAAATTGATTTGTGAGATGAGGGAGGGAGGGAGAGGAGGGGAGAGAGAGAGAGAGAGAGAGAGAGAGAGAGAGAGACAGAGACAGAGACAGAGACATCAATTTGTTGTTCCAGTTACTGATGCGTTCATTGGTTGGTTCTTGTATGCGCCCTGACTGGAGATTGGACCGCAACGTTGGCGTATGGAGACCGCGCTCTAAGCCACTGAGCCACCCTGCCAGGGCTGACTGGTTTGGTTTTTAAGTGCTTTCTCTGGAGGGATTCTAAACTTAATGGATGAGGTTTAAGAGATGAATTGGACCTCTTATATGCCATACAAAGATAGGCACCTTTGGCTGCCTGGAGTTCATTTGTTGATATATTTCTGGTCTTCCCTGTGTGTGCGTGTGTGTACAAGGCCCTTGCACATGTGTATTTCGCTTTATAGCACACTCTGCAGGATTCTGCAGAGTCCCGTGTGCTCAGTAAATATTTGTTAACTATTACTTAGTTGAAAATAGGAGGTCCACAAGTTTCAAACTGGTTTTATAGGAGTCAAAGCTAAAGAAAAAACAAACAAAGAAACCCGGAAAGTAGTGTTGTAAAATCACAGGAAAATTGCTTAACATTTGTTAGTATTAAAACCTTGTCTGCACGGGGTTAACTAAAGTGAGACTTTCACCTATTATAACTTTACACTTTGTCCAAATTATCAGCTTCTTTAATCCCTTCCTTGTCCAGGTGAGATGGGAGGTAGTGTGTTTTTTCCTGTGATGCGAGTGGACATTGTCATTCATTGCAAGCTCTTCAGCTTGAGGTGCTGAGGTTGGCTTGTCCGTGAGTGGGAATGAGCACTCTTTCAGTCTTCACGCAGCAGATTTTATTGAGCATCTACTGTGTGCCAGGTGGCGCTCCGGGATCGGGTGATAGAGCAGTGACTAAAGCAGAAATCCCTGTTCCCTTGGAACTCCCCTTGGCCTGAAAGGCCACACAGCCAGTGAACACCGAGCAGGAAACGGCCCCCGCGTTCATGTCACATTATGTTAAGCAACGCGGAGACTGGTTGGCAGTGGAACCTGCGGTGGCTGGCAGAAAGGCCGGCTGGTGCTCGCTGTTCGGACTTGCTGTTGGGCGTATCCTTTCCTATTTGCGCGGAGGATCTCGGCTCATCCCTAGGAGGCCTTGTAGCTGATATTTGCATGTATAGCTTTTTCCTGGAATTGCGCTCCCAGCCGCAAAGCCTGCCTTTTTATTCTCAAAAGTTTCATGGTTCAAAATTTATGTTTAAGATAAACTTTTATGCTGGTCTCCAGGATCACCCTGCATATGATTTTTTTAGATACCTGTTTAGGGAGGCTTTTAAACTATTATAGCATCTTATATATTTTTAATATGTGTAGTGTATTTTTCCCATGTAGATGGAACTCAAGGAATCCATATGCTTCCCATCAGCATTTGAGCTACAATGCACTTTTAAGGGAAACCATATTGACTGATGGTACTGCACAAGAATTGCAAGCAAGAGTGACCTCTTCAGATTTCAATCAGGGAACAGAAGAGGGCCTTTCTTTTTTTCCTTTTGGTGGGTTGGCAGACTTAATTAACCAACCTGGAATTTGGCTAGGACACCTGGGTTAATATCCTGGCCCTGGCACCAAGTACCAAGGAATCTTGGCCACAATTAGTAAAGAGCTTTTTTTCCCCTCTAATCTCCATCTGGCACCTCCAGAAGGACAGATTCCACTCGCACTAGCTCAACGGGTGGGTCTGTTTTTTAATTGTCTGTGTTATTACGGTGCAGCAACAAAATCTTCCAAGTATTCTTTGTGGAACATTAGAAAAGAGGAAGTAGTTGTGCTCACAGAATCCCTGGGGGATCCTTCTCTGGTATGTCTGTCCCCAGGGAAATGCCATTCTCATCCACCTCTTCTCGGGAATCTTAATGAGAAGAGAGAGGGACAGTTTGCTGCCCTCATGTTTTATATGAGCAGAAGGTCTAATATACTCCCAACTTGAATTGAGTACTTTAATATTGGTATTTGCCTTTGCTTATGTCTAAGAATAGCTTGGAGTACATCCCAGTTTTAACTCTGCCCATTTTTCACACTTAAAATTGCTGAGTCCTTGATTTACTGTCTCATCTCTGAAGTTAAGGGCTTCAGGTTCCAGATGTTTGGGATGTGCACATCACCAATGTGCACAAACCCAGAATTTGGGTTTGATGTATAAAGGGCGTATAAAAAGAAGACAACTTTAATGAGGTTTTTCTCCCCCTGAATCTACAAATCCCCAGTCAAGCAGTGCACTAAAATACTTGGCATATCTTTTTCCTCTCTCAGAAGAGATAAGAGATACTAGGCATATTTTCCCAAACATCTTTCAGTCAAACCTTTTGACCTCCTGTGTTCTCTCTTTAACTGATTTTCTCCATAGGATGATTTCTTATTGGAGATACTATGTTCTAATTCCCAAGGCAGGAAGGAACCTTTTTAGCCTTTTCTTTCCCAGACTGCAGGATTAATAAACTTTATAGGCAAGGTAATTTTTTTATGGCCTCCGTGAAGGAGAACTTCTATCACTAAGTTTCACACATGGGTGACCAGAAAAAAAGTGTGTGCCACCGGAAGCCATGTGATCATTTTTATTTTGAGGTGCATGCGGCTGGCTTGGGTTGTTCCCTTGGGAATCTAGTACCAGAGTCAAACTTAGGTTTTAGTTTTCCAATGAAGTTATTATTTTTCTTTCAGATTCTTAGGTTTATTTCTTCCTTCCCTACTAGTTCTACAATTCAAGTGGCCCTTCCATTTTCATAACATGCTATCTTAACATATGTGCGTTCAGCGCATAAGGCATAAAGCATACACACACAGAAAGAAGGTAATTATTCATAATTCTGCTGTCCAGAGAAAATCGTTTCAGTATTTTGGAGCATGTATTTCCAGTCT